ACAAAGACAATACAAGGTTATGATGACTTTAAATCACTAATTTTGAGAAAATAAAATATTTAGGCTTTTTATACTCTATAATCATTGATACATTGTCTGAATGGTTAGTGATGGTTTTAATCCAAGGAAATTAATTTACATACCATCCTGGAAAAATATTAATCTAGATCGTATGTTAAACAAAAAGTTGATGAAAACAAGCTGGATTCTGAGGATTTCCAAGGTAATTCTGAATAAAACAAACGGAGATAGGTTACACGTATTGATATACAAGGGAAGTATTTATTAGGAATAAGAATGATAAATCTAAACGTCTGTAAAGCTTTTTTTGATAGTTGAGATCGTGAGTCAATTGAAGCTAGACCACCATGGAAAACCTGAAAGCACTGGATGGCCGTTTCATCCTTCTCAACAGTGCTCATCCATGATTCCGCCTCATGAGATTCCAACCTAGGACCTATCAGTCTCGCCCGCGAACGCTTAACCACTAGACCACTGAACCAACCAGATTCCAACGGTGTTAGTGTCTAACTTCAACTAATCCACGAAATTGAGCGACACATCCACCATAGTCTTCAGTAAGTTACTATCTCACAACAGACTTGGTTGACCTCCATTGGTCACTGCTTCTCACTAGAACTACAAGAAATACTTCATGAAGCCAGTCACTAAAATTTTCAATGCCTCAATTTGTAAATTTATTGAACATTGAATGAATTTTTTAACACAAAGCATGATCAATACAAGTGTTATATCTGTGTTTAAGTCATACAAAAGTTTCATTCCTTCCTATCTGATACAAACTGACAATGTCAATTTTAATTTTTGTTGTTGCTGTTGTTGTTGTTGACTGAATTATTGATTTTGTCACTACAAATGTCCATCTATTTTGTTTCTTTTTTTTATTTTTTTAACCTTAAAACCATTACAAATAGATGGTAATTTGTGAATATTAAGATTATTAATTGATAAATTTTATATGGTATTAAACATTAAGTTTGGTAATTAGTTCACCTATTACATATAGATTTGATTGTACTTACAGTAGGATCTTAATATTGATTGTACAATTGTAGGTAACACATTGAAATATCTTTTTAAGTAATTAAATGAACCTAGTTATTTCACATGAAATCCAAAACTTTATCAATCATGTATAGACATGCTATATTATGCTTATCCTTTTTCATTTAGAAATGATCAGACAGTTATATTAACATTATTTGTGTTATATACGTTCTTCTGACATGATAATGTAAGCGATCAATTGATTTGTTTATCTGTAATGTCTAATATAGGATCCAAGAAAAAAAATTGTAGAAAATATGAGACGAATAATGGTTACGGTCATTTACTTACTCAGGTAGGTTTTTAGTGTATCCTCAAATAGGATACTGAAACGCGCGTTCTGGATTCCATTGACAGCCACTTTCCATCTTTGCTTATATACATTTAAGGTATAACAACACTACTGGATGTCGGTCCAATGATCTAGAGGTTAAGCGTTTGAACTCAAGACCGAAGAGTCCTGGGTTCGAGTCCCTTTAGTGAAGGATCGTTGATATGCATTGTTTAGGATTCCTATACTAGAATGATGCTTCCAGGTTTTCAATGGTGATCTAGCATTTGTTCATTCATGATGCCAATCTAAAATTTTAAACAATGTTTTAATGAATTACAAGAGCTTCAAGTTAAGAATCTATTCATATGATCGGATAATCTCAGAATAGATCTACTTTTTTCCTGACAAACTTGAATAAAATTTTCATTTCAAAAGTGTAAATAGTCTCATTATTGACATATAAACACTTTCAAAGATTGAGATGATAGAGAAGATTTGTGGCTCAAAACATACGACTTTTTCAATCTTTCAAAAATTTATATAATTTTCATAGTATCCTAGTTACTAACTTAATCCTTGTTTGGTTACTATATATTGTGTTTAAATACTCAACTTGTTGTCTGAAATGAAGCAATTTTCATTTAAATGAATATAATGAAAGGTGATTATTATCATCTGTTACAATCAATATTTTAAACTGACTAATGTATTTTTTGAAAAAAGGAAAATATATTCTAATAGTTGAAATCATGAGTCGATTGAAGCTAGACCGTCATGGAAAACCTGGAAGCACTAGATGGCCGTTTCGTCCTATTGTGGGACTCCTCCTTGGCAGTGCGCATCCACAATCCCAGGACCTATCGGTCTCTCGCGCGAGCGCTTAACATCTATACCACTGAGCTAGCCAGCATCCAACGATGTTAATGTCTAACTTCAACTTATCCACGAAACTGAGGAGTTCCACTATAGAACGAAATGGCTGTCAAGTGTTTCTAGGTTTTCCATGGTGGTCTAGCTTCCATTGATTCATGACTTCATGTATTAAAACTATTGTAATATCCACAAAAGCCTTTCTGATACTGAAAATATATTCGTTGAAAGAATTCTAAATCAACACATGTTATGTATATTATTAGAATAGAAATGAGATGAAGTGCTAAAATGTCAAGTTGTCAATTTGAATAAGGCTTTCCAATTAAACCTTTTTTAACAACCCTTTAATATAATTTTAAAATTTAGGGTTTTGTTTAATTACAGGTCTGTTATTCTTCATGTTGTTTTTTAACTCATTTCTACAAGTTATCCTCTGACTTTGAATTGTTTTTCTCGCTGTTCGTCGCTGCATACAGTACACTAATTTCATCATATATACGTATATAAAAATCTGAATCCTATATTTTAACTGCTACTATATCTTTCAATATTTGATAATCGATGTCAGATCTAATATTCATTAATTATTCAAACTTGAGTCTACCAGCCAAACGGAAAGGATTGTGGATGTGTATTGTTGAGGAATCCTATATTAGAACGAAACCGCCGTCCAATGCTTCCAGATTTTTAATGATGGTCTAAAATTGATTGATTTATGATCCTAATCAAAAACTTAACAATCTTGGCAATCCTATTCTGATATTCATATAAATAATTCACTATGATTACATCAATTATGCCTTCATTTTCTTTCAATAAATTAGCATAAACTTTAGTTTCCTACTCAATAAGCTTAATATCAAATTAATTTCAGTGTATGTAGTTACATTAACAAAATCTATGTCAATCTTACAAAGCATCATTCAAAAAGAAAGTTGCATAATTCAAATCACCTACCAATCTTAATTAAACAACTATTGACAACTTGGAATTGTAAATGTTCAATGGTTTATAAAGTTGGATTGGCTCGTGATTTCTGGGAATTATAACAATTTCCATGGCTGAATGATTTGTTATTTTTAAAGTGTAGACTAGTAAGTGAATTATGTCAATAGGAATCTACATAAAGTGTTAGCAACTATGGTGATGATTGATTAGTCGTAAACAGTAATTGCTTGTTATGAGTACACTGGTATTATTTATATAAAAAATATCTACGGCATCTTAAGATGTATTTCGTTACAGATTGATAACTGAAACACCATTTAGATTTAAAATATACGATTGTGTAAAGAGATGGATCTTCATTTCTAAAAGTGATCACAATGTAACTAAATTAACAAGTGAATTTCTACTTGTCTACTTTTAACACTTTCATACAATCTTTAAGATAATGTCAACCAATAGACAATCTTACTTCTTTTTAATTTATGTCTGAAAAACTTAACACTTAAAAGCTGTAGTGATTATTAGGCTACTGGCATTCGATCACAAATGCTTCCAAATCATATCTCGTATAAGTCGGAATTATGGAGTGGACATTGTTGAGGTTGAACGCAGGGTACTAGATAAAAACTGGAATATTCACCGACTATGGTGATTGGGACATAGCACAAAATCGTTCACACTGGTGCCTGCACATTGATTCATTACTTCCTCAAAGATCTCAAGTTCCGAAATTGTTTGCTTTACATAAAATAAGATGCAAATCATGATGACTGCTAAAACTGATTAAATCAGTAACAAGGTTATTAGATTTGATAAACAATAAGTCATATTCCGTACCAAATCTAGACTAGTGTCAAATAAGTGAATCCTAACTTTAAATGTTTTAACCTAGAATTTAGATTTTCATAAACATTCATACTGTTTTTGCTACAAATCACTGAAGTATTATATTGTTTTAAAGGTAATCATTTTCTCATTAGAATGAGTCATAATTTTAAGGTGTTTTCCAGCTCAGAATGAGTACACTGACAATCAATAATGAATTACTCTTATTTTATTTATTGTTTATTCAAAGCATATAGATATTAGCACAGGTAGACATCAAGTAGATATGCACCACGTAAATTATTCGATTTCTGTGAAGACTGGGATAATGCTCGGGTGCCAAAACCGAAGTAGGTGGTTTCCTTAGGGGGGCTACACACGGAGCCTTCGACCTGAAGGTTTAATCCACAAGGCAGTGGAGCAATGTAAAGAGATGCACTCTCATGGTAGCCGGTGACCAGTGATTGGTTCATATACCGTTTGTTTTCCTAGGATTCTGGAACCCATGTGCATAAATGGTTTGGAATCATGTTCCTCCAAGGTGGATCCTTCGTATACAACAACCGAGTGAAAGCGCCGGATATTTGTTTTTCGTCCTTTCAATTTCGTAAACAACACCTTTGCGGCGCGAGAAGTCAGTGAGTAGGACTTCATTGGTAATTGTTGTGTGCACGTGACCATGTGAGAGCATTTCGAGAGAGAGATAGAGATAGAGAGATGACTCTCCCCACTCTCAGTTGTACCAAAGCATTTGAATGCAATAAATTATTCTACAAACATTCTTATTCAACTCTTCAATCTTCAGATTCTTATTCCAGCACAAAGACATTTCAGAAAATCTATACATACAAATACTATTTGTGAATTTAACTAGAAAAAAAATGAAAAAAATTAAATTATTGATTTAATTACTAATTTTTTGATTGGTTATCATAATTAACCAATCAAATTTTAACTTTTATTTTTTTATTTAAATTATAAAAATTGGTAAATTATTTATTTATAAAATAATAATCTACACTTAAATATACATATATACATATATCAACAGTAACTACCATATAATCTTTTGTATACACAATGAGTATTCTTGTATTATCATTACGATTATTTACTTTTTAATACACTTTATTCAATAAGCTACTTTGTCTAATATAGAAAATTATTGGAATATATACTACTCATATTTATCCTTGTGAACAGTTTCAGTTTTTTCTTTTTGTTTTTCGTTTTGTTTTTTCAACAACAAAAAAACACGAAGAAAGAAAGAGAAAAAAAATAATCGAATATTTACACATATGAATTAACACAAATCAATAATCAATTTTATTGATTTTATTTATTGGGATTGATAAAAGATATTGGATTATAATAGAAAAGAAATCACGTTCCAGATATTTATATTTTGGTAAGTACTATAACTTGATTTGAATATAATTCATTTTAATTAGAAATTTTACATAACAATATATTATGGATAGTGGCTAGCAGTGGAATGCAGTTTGACGCGCGTTTCCTCCTATTTGGCACTCGTCAGTTCGATGTACCTGCATCTCAGAGAGTTGATGTTCACTCTGGGACTCGAACTGACGAGTGCCAAATAGGAGGAAACGCGCGTCAAACTGCATTCCACTGCTAGCCACTATCCATCATTGCTTACAAATAGCTTGTGAATTAAGGTAATATCGAGGCATACGCACAGTATGCACATATGCCAATAACAGACTGATCAATTGCAGTCTTAAACCTCAATGGGAAGATACAAGCCAAAAAATACCAAGTGAATAACAATATATTGTTATGATGTTTGTACCAAAGGTAGTAGGAATGTTTTTGATGGAGTTTTGTTCTCTGATCTGGATGATTTATTCATGGAGCATTCATCGTTTTTCTGAATAACATTATCAGAACAAACTTCAGGTGGAAGAAATGTATTATTTTTCCAGTAACACTTTTGGTTTTAAAATTCTCATTAGATTGTGATAAGTAATGTGATGATAAGTAGGATTTTTTCTCCTGAAATGTATTCTACTTCTCTTACAATTAGTATTTTCGGCGAGAGTATAATTTACGGACGAACCAATCTGGTATATGATAACAGCGCGAAATTCATTTATCTATTTGGTTAAATAAAGTTTTGGCATTATAAAGCTGATGTCAGTTCTTGATGAAAAACCTAAATGTAATTTCTGACCCTAACCATCAACTATAAATCATAATTTAAATTGCTCACACTGGTTTATAACCCTCATTTCGTTCTAGATATTAGGTAAACACTGTCAATGTTACTTTAGCGTCGTTCAAATGTCGTTCATAAATTATAGTCTCACTGTATTTTCTTCATGTGTCCTTGACCTATGTGATAAGTTTATTAAGTTCTGGATAGATTTCTGTCTATAATGTCAATTGGTTTAATGAACTTCTTTTGAAATTCAACTGATAAGATCCCTTTTTTTAAGTTTTAGAATATCACTGATTTTTTTCTAGTTACTTGTTGAGTTAACGTATTTCACATTTCAGTGAATATCACCTATCTAATACATTTATCCATTGAGAATTTCAAGATTATAAGAAGTATAAAACGAGACATTACGTAATTTAAAAAACAGTGATTGAAATCGTGCAGAAAATAGCTAATTTTTAAATCACAATGTCCGAATAGTATTATTTTGAAGTTAATCGGAAATATCATTAAAATCATAAACTGATTTAAGTTAGATCATCTTTCAACAATCTCCGAAATCATATACTGTCAGTTTGAAGTGATATTTTATTGAACGAAAACTCAGATGAAGGAAACTGATTTATTGTATAGTGTAAAAATTATAGAGTGCCTTGACAAAATATGAAAACCATATGCTGAATAAATCATTTGAAACATCTTCCATTAGTTGTGTTTATACATACTTCATGATTCTTCTAATTCTGTTGTTACTCCAATTATTCCATGTTCTCATTCCTGTTTTCTACAGTTAGGGATTCCAATTTAGATTGTTGTTACATATTACTTATATCTGTCAGCATAGATAGTACACAACACAGTATAAATGTACATCTAGATCATTCAACACAACAGTAACTATCTAAACATTATTGTAATAAAATAAGAATAATTTACTTTGGATGCGAATGTTAACTATCGTCAACGAAAACAAAGCACCTAATCCTACTTTCTACTAGCAATCGTCATAACGTTAAATTCAGAACTTACTAATCATTCACTTAAATTAGAACAATCTGCATACGTTTATTTTTGTTGGTTAATTCTTATATAAAAGAAAACATTTTTTTGTTGCGTTTTTTTCATGAAACAAAAATTGGTTTCACTGATTGAAATCATGAGTCAATTGAACCTAGACCACCATGGAAAGCCTGGAAGCACTAGATGGCCGTTTCGTCCTAATGTTGGACTTCTTAACAGTGCACATCCATGACCGTAGCTCGTGGGATTCGAACCCAGGACCTATCAGCCTCGCGCACTGCTGAGAAGTCCCATACGAGGACGAAACGGCCATCTAGTGCTTCCAGGTTTTCCATGGTGGTCTAGCTTCAATCGACTCATGATTTCAATCAGTGGAATTTCTAAAATCTCCACAAAACCCTTTCTGATAAAAATCGATTTATCAGATGATAAACAATTACTAATATGAATCTATATCATTTGTCAAAGTTTAACGGTTTACTTAACTTTCAATGAAGTAAATAAAATAGATTACACTTTTACACTTTTTTTCTGAACCTTATATGTTCTCGGCTTTAGTAGCGTTCGGTTTTAACGATGTTATTTTATTAATCTTTGATCATAAAGTCTAACATTAGATCTTTCAATTTTAAACCATCAAGTGGACGATGGCTCCAATTCCTGGATTGATTGAAATTAGAGATTAACACCATTGGATGCTGTCTAACTCAGTGGTCTAGAGGTTAAGCGTTCGTGTTCGAGTTCAATAGATCCTGTGCTCGAATCTCGCGAGACTGATAAGTTCTGGGTTGGAATCTGACGAGGTACGATCGTGGATGTCCACTGTTAAGCAGTCCAACAATAGGAAGTAACGGTCATCTAGTGCCTTCAGATTTTTCATGATGGTCTAGATTCATAGAGGAAATAGTTAATTTGTAAAATATCAATCCATCATCTCAGATTTCATTGTCTCTGCATTTTCATACCAACTGAGTTCCGTTCCCATTCTTTTCTTCTTGATCTTCTACTGAAATACATTGTATTCTTAACTATCGTTATATACTACTTATGTGGATATAAGTTGTTCATACTACAACTTGAGAGCTAACAACAAAAAAACACCCATTCAGATATAAACAGTAGATCATTGTGAATGTGTACATTTAACCAAATGAAATATAAAAAATCTTTTCTTGATATGTGTTTTTTGTTGTTGCAAATTTCGCAGTTTAAAAAAAAATAGTAATTTAGTTATGTTACTAAGATGATTATAGGTATTGCTTTCTTGTTGGAACCTCCATGTTGCATTTAGTTGTTCTTTTTTTTTCTTATGTGATTTGATCAAATAACAATCACTATTGATGTCTATAAATGATCTACTTAGCTATTGTAAGTGAATGATCATTTTAATCAACCTAATGGTTACAAACAGTTATAGTGTAATGTATTACCACATAAACAATTCGCATTACTCATTACATAATTAGTTGTTGCATAATGATTAACTTAAAAACATACACATATGTATATAGTCAATATATTTTAAGTTGATTGTCAGTGCTCGATTTTGAATGAAAAACTTCTTAGTTTATCTATTGATTAGTTGGCTTTAGGCTTTATCACTTTATGGAATACTGTAGATCTTTATGATCATGGTGGTAGTGAATTAATTACACTGAGAATTGTGTTGCTCCCATTGATTATGAATATAGTGATCCCGAGTGCTGTTAAAGATATGAGGGTGGTTATCACTTCCCAGTTGCCCATACCATGGAAGGGTTCTTCTAAAGGTACCTGAAAAGGAAATTGGGTTAGAGGTGGTCTTAGTGACCTGATACTTTATTAAATGATATATTGCTAAGATTAAGACGCTAACTAACAAGAACTGTGGTAATGCTAATGTATTTATTGGATGAAGTACAAAAACGGTCAGTGGACAGATCACAAAATTTTCAGTGATCAAGTGTCTTCAGATAAATATTAAGTTGTCAATAGTACAAATGAGATAAAAAGCAAGATTCGGATTTTTTCTTATTCCTAACATTACATATACAATCCTAAGTATGCCTATGATGAATTTGAAAAAGCTTAATTATGTGTTGTAGTTATCAGCAGCTATCAACTTTAGTATTTGCACCGTGTAGGCATTATTTGTTTAATTTATATGATTTTAAAACTTAGATTTCAATCAACCTATCTTATCCAGCTTTACTCGAAATATTACGATCACATATTGTAACCACTAAAAATGGTAGACCGGCGAAGTTATCTTGAACTTAATTGTTCGCACGCGAGACCGAAGGCCATGAGTTCGAACGCTGCGCTTAGAGTCGTGGATTTGTATTGATGTGAAGTCCCAGAGTGGGATGAAATGGCTGTCTTCAAGACTGATCTAACTAAGAACAATTGATGATTTCAATGAAATTCAACAATCTTTAAAACCGTATACTTACAATTACATTTAATGAACTGGTTTCAAATTTACTGAGGATCACCCTCGTCATCTGATAGAATCATATTTAAGTCCTATATAAAAATGAAGAATTTCGGTATCGAATTAGGAAAGCAAACTTTCAATGGCATTTTATTGTCTATAAAAATTTATCAACTTCCATTTCAATAAATCACAAAATATCGGTCAAATGTGAAATTTATTTCAAAATCTCTTAAATTCATTGTCATATTATTATTTCAACGGTTAGGATCGTGAGTCAGTTGAAGCTAGAGCACTGTAGAAAACTGAAAGCGTTGGATGACCATTTCATCCTATTGTGAGACTCCTCAACAGTGCGCACTTATGATTCCGCCTGATGAGACCCCAACCTAGGGCCTATCAGTCTCGAGCTCGAGCACCTAACCACTAGACCATTGAACCAGCCAGTATCCAACAGTGTTAACGTCTAACTTCAACTAATCCACGAAAATGAGCGACACATCCACCATAGTATTCAGTGAGTTACTATCTCACAACAGATCTAGTTGAACTCTACTGGTCACTGCTTCTCACTAGAACTCCAGGAAATACTATTACTATTAATATTATTAATATAATAGGTTACTGTAACTGATTTACGGTCCTATCCTATTCGCTTATCCTATGCTTTTAAATGAGTTATTCTGAGAAGATACTGATGACATTTTTTTTCATTAAATGAATCATAATTTTTGTATAAACCCCTTACTAATTTACTTCAATTTCAACTTCCGAGTGGTATCAATAGTCTTCA